GTCCATTTCGCTCAAGTACTGCAGCTATACCCATAGGAGAACCATCTGTAGTGAGAACAGACTTATCTTTCGATAAGAAAGGTCTTAAGAAAGCTTGTCTACTAAGAATTTCCAAATTTCCTCGCCAGGTATTCTCATGTTGGTGTTCCCACTTGAATTATTTACTGGAGACAATATCAAAAAGTGGAGATAACAGCTGAGTGAAATTGGGAATGAATCTGGAGTAAATATGAAGAGTACCAATCCATGATCCCAACGACATGTTATTAGGTGGTGCTTGAATTAGAGGTGCCAAATGACTAGAATCAGGTCTGAAACCGTCGCAGTCTAGTGTGATACAGACGACAAAGTAAAATGACATTTAGATGGATTTTACGAGTTGATCACGGATTGATATCAGTTAGAGAACCATTGAAAACCAAGGAGTACTGAACAGCTGCTGTTTCATCCTGGTTTGGGAATCATCGGCAGTACGCACCCACAGAAACGCCTGAATAGTTTTAAAAGACATTCATTATGACATTCGATGTTCGGACCATGAAGTATAATGTCGTCTTTATAAGACTCAGCACTATCTAATCCGTTTATCATCTGATTTATTACTTTTTGAAATATTGCAGGCGAAACCTTCAAACAGAAAGACAGGAACTTATACTTGAACAGTCCAAATGCTGTATTAATGGTTGTTAGTGCACTAGAAACTTCGTGAAGAGGAATTTGCAAATAAGCATCTTTGAGATCTATTTTGAAAAAGTATTTTGAGCCATGTAGCTTGTAGAGAAGTCTTTGGCTTTTAGCGTAGTGCAACTTTGCTGTAGTAGGCGACTATTGAGTGTAAGGCGGTAGTCACCTCAAATTCTCGGTGCTTTCTCATCAGCCTTTAATGGCGTCACAATGGAAGTAACCCAAGTCAAAGATTCAACTGGCATAAGTATGCCCTGCTCAACCAACTTGTCTAACTTTTTCTTAACTGCATCTCACAAACCGTATGGAATCAATCGACGCTTTAGAAAGATAGGATCAACCCCTATCTCAAGATGGATGGGCTGAATCTTCATGTCACCTACGCACTTTGAACAAAGATTCATCAGACAACTCAGTGCAAAGTGAGATTTCGACATTCAACAATCTTAGCGCTTTTAATCTAAATAAAGAGGACCAGTAATACTTGCAATGGTACTAGCATAAAACGTCTACCTGGGCATGCTTACAAAGCGATAGTAAATCTTTCCTAGAAATGATAGATTCAGTACTCCCACTATCGATTATAAAAGAGTGAGACTTGTCTGAACTTGTAATGAAGGTTCACATCAGATGAGATTCAGTGCTGTGAAAATTTGAAAGAGACTTTGACTGCATTTTACCAGACAGTTTGGGAGAATCATGAGTAGCATAATTATTTGAAATCCAGCAAACAGAGTTAATAAGCCCAATTTTACCATATTTATGGCACATAGCACCCCGAAAATGGCAAGCGCTTCATAGATGAATCTTTCCACATGAAAAACACGGTTTGATGATTTTGCTTTCTCTCTGTATTCTATTTCATCTGGATGACAGTTTGGATTTCTTTTTTATGGATATCTGCATTATCAGATTTTGACAGCATGACATCAGACACCGACGTAGTGGCAGCTGGGTATTCACTGTTGACATATTCATAAGTAATACATAAATCTTTAGCAGTGTGAAAGGTGCAGGAAGGTATCTGAATCAACTCTTTCTGTAACTTTGGAATACTGATCCCTGCAATTAGACGATCACGTAGTTGAGTATGGAGCTGATCACCAAAGTTGCACTTTAAAGCTTGTATCTGAAGCTGAAGAATAAAGTCTCTAATCTTCTGGTTAGGAGCACAAACAAGTTTGTTGAACTGAGCCCTCTCTTGTGTTTCGAAAGTAGTTATGTGGAAGTGATCTGTTAAAAGTCCATGAAGTTTGTTCAAATGGTAGAGAAATTGGTTTATCTGGAAATGACAAAGTTTTCACTAGGCTGTACTCATCTAACCTAATCTCAGTAATAAAATGAGCTGAGAGTTTGTCATCAAGAGCATTCTTCGACTTGCACCAGGCTTCAAAGCATTCAAGATAATCGGCGATTTCCCGCGGCGAACCTTTCATAGGAAACTTTTCAAGATTATTTAATTCCATAGCGACGCCAAAATGTTATAATTATTTGTAATAGTAGTATTCCGCAGTGACCGAATTACAGGAAATCAACTAACTACACAGAGAGGATTGGATTTAGGAATTCGTTTTTGGCAGAATTATTTGTAATTCACGTAATAAATATTAACAAACAACAGTCAGTATTTAAACGATACGGTAATAAAAATTGTCAGTCACCACATAAGCTGAAGGTTGTGGGTTCCACTTCTAGTGGGGTTATGGGAACACGCTACTGAAGATTCCGGAACAAGAACCAGACAAATGGCCATTACTGGTTGCCAGTTTTCAATGGTTCACTAAATTAAATCGCTTCGTCATCAGTCATGAAGTACGTAAACAAGGCAAAAATAACAGTAATAATATATGATCAAGTGTTTTTTTTATTGTAGCTTGAAACCACACAGTATTTTTGGTACAGGTATGGAATTTTCAGTATGTGATATCGGTAGCCCAAATTTTTCAGGCCGACCATAGATACCAGGTGTGCGTCGGCAGGGGATCGGACCATGTGCATGGTTGGCGAGAGTACTAACCGCTGTGCCACCGACGCACACTTTAAAACTGAGAATGCATGAATACACGGCTGATGAAAATCAGGTCAATCAGTACATTCTTTCGCTAATTAAACGATTCAATATCCTATATAAATAATACCAAATATCTTTAAAAAGGGTATTAAATAGCGCGGCAATCACTATGCATCCACAGTTAGGGTTATAACGAAAATGGATGAATAAGCGCTTGATGTCATACAATGTCACATGGCTAATCATAATTTTTGATGAATAGCTTTAGCAACGATATGACAGAGGGTATAGAGAGATGAGTTACAAGGAAGCTCTAAGAAGTTCTGACGAAGCACTTAATACATTATACAGTCTGTAACGAATAAAGTCTATGCGATTCTTCCTCGCAGTTTTTGTTTCATTCATGTTTGTCAAAGGGGAATTTCTGTGACAGTATCGTACAGGTTCTCTTCATCCTACAATATTCAGTACTACACATGTAAAATTCACAGTTTGCAAATTGATTCATGATTTGCACTGTACGCAGTTTGAAGCGAAGGCCGAAGTTCTTCGGATGACAATATCTGATCAGTTTGACACCATTAAGGGAAATCATAGGAAGAGATATATTTGCATGAAGTTATTTGCCTCTCTGACCATAGTCAGACCGCAGACATCTCTGATGAACGTGGCCCTAGAGGAACGTAACGGTTCTTCAATGGTTACTTCAATTCAGTCTATCTAAAAGCACTGCTGGTCGATGTGAGTTGTATTCAACTAATCATAATCAGCGGTATAAAGCCTCATGCAGTTATCCTTGTTTTCTCGACTTCCATTTATATAGTATCATGAGGATGGTGTGTTTAGATCTGAGTAATTTCGGTCTCTTAAGGAAACTGCGGTGAAATTTCTCCTCCTTGAACTGTGCAAATTGCAAGTCACTAACCAATTTGCAAATTTTCAGTTTGATACCAGTTCTTCCAGTTGGTAGTTAACTAGAACTTGGGTGGTTTAAACAGACTCATCTCCCTGCTCTCATTGAATCTCAGAACATCATTGAGGAACATCATTGTCTCCAGATAAGCAAAACGGCTGGCCACCTAGTGTTTAGATCACTTCCATTTGAATAGTATACAACTACTCATGCCAATTCATCAGCAGTATATGGCATGTCCTACATATGGAATCTAAAGATCTGAATTATTGAGGAAAATTAAACAGTTTAGAAATAAAAGAGGCCTTTAGTGTAAATATTCTTTACACGAGCAATATTAAATAACCAAAGATCAGAGCATCTCAGACAAACTACAGACCTTCATTAAACAGCTAACTGTCTTCGCTCAATACTCAAGATCAGATGGCCAGAGATCTCTGGGAGCGAACCAACCAGGAACCGATTGCGAAACAGATAGGCAGGAAGAAATGGAGATGGATTGGCCATACTCTGAGGAAACAAACCATCAAGTGACATCACTAGACAAGCCATCGCTCGAGTGGAACCCGACAGAATGGGAAGCGGCAAGTTGGTCGTCAGTGCAAGGGTGAGTTGGAGGAGGTCATGTGAAGAGGAGATGAAAGCGTGTGGACAGACTTGTAGTCACGTGAAAACGTTGACAGAGAACCGAACGCAGTGGAGACGCACGGCTGAAGCCCTATGTTCCTCTAGGAATTAAAAGAAACAATAATAATAATAGTGACCGGGAGGAAAATTACCAAATTTGGTTTTAGATAAAAGTGTTTCCAGTGGGAAGTTTATGAATGAGTCAATGAAACAATAACCGAAGGGTTCAAATTTCAATAGTCGCCCCCCCCGCCGCATTTTTCGGCGCACTGGCTTCTAATTACAATATTTAAAATTGCTAAATTTTGTTATTATCTGTCTAATCGAATCATTTACGCCCATTTTGTTTTACTAAAATGACAATGAAAGAGAAGTGTACACTCTAGTGGCTATTATTATTATTGTTATTACTATTATTATTCAGGGAATCAGAATCATAACAATAACATTTTAACAATAATTATAAATATAATAACTGTCGAATTCAAACTTCTTTTTTAGATTAGCAATCAAACTAAATTAATCAATATTGTTAATAATTAAAGTTGACAGAAAAATCAAATGTTTAATTATTTACTTATTTCCTTTGATACTCTGTTTAATTTCACTCTTTATTCTATTTGCATAATACTGTAGACATAGTGTTTCCGTATTGATTACCAATTCCTATAGAAACATATTCACAGACATTGTTGAGTTTCAAAGTAAATAAAGTTAGTTATATATTGAATAGGAAGAAATTTAATATTTTTTTGCAAGTATATATATATATATATTTAAATAATTATGTAAATATAAATGCTTAGATATGTTGTTTTAAGACAAGATTACGCATAAAACATCACATCTATATGAATTACTTTACTCTATGTACATGCCTTTTGTTGATTGTAATTTCTGCAGAAGAAAGTAAGTATGGAATAATATATAACTGTTTGATTTCTATTTCACATGTATAATGTTTTATTATATGTAATACTATACCTATTATTATTATTTGTTAGGATTGATAAATTATGAGAGGACTTATGTTCTATATTTCGATAATTATTATTATTGTTCCCTTGGGTTCCTAGTGGAACATAGGGCTTCAACTGCACACCTCCACTTGATTCTGTCTTCTGCTGTACTTATCACTTCCATCCATGTTAGTCCATACTGTTCCAGCTTCTCTTCACACGATCTCCTCCATGTCACCCTCGGACGTCCCACTCGCCGCTTCCCTTTCCGGTTCCACCCGAGCACTGGCCTGACGCGCAATGTCACCCAGTGGCCTCCTTAGCGAGTGTCCAATCCATCTCCACTTTCTCCTGCATATTTGCTGGGCGATTGGTTCTTGTTTTGTTTGTTCCCATAGTTTCTTATTGGTGATTCTTTCCGGCCATCTGATGTTGAGTATAGAACGAAGACAGCTGTTGATAAAGGTCTGAAACCTGTTGGAAATATTCCTTAAAACCCGCAAAGTTTCTGATCCGTACGGATAGAAGAAGTGACTTGACGTTTGTATTGAAAATCCGAATCATTTTGTTGTTGATGTTGATTGATGAAGATTTCCAGATTGGTTTCAGGTTGATGAATGTGTTTCTCGCCTTTCCGATTCTCCATTTTACATCTTCGTCCGTTCCTCCTGTAGTTGAGACAATTCTCCCTAGATAAGTGAATGAAGTAACCTCTTTCAAATCCCTCCCGTTGATGGTGATTGGTGCTGGATGTTGTTGCTGCTGTTGTTGTTATTTTCATAACCTCCGTCTTGTCTATATTTCGATATTTGGAAAGATTAAATTCAGCTCTGCTATTTATTCTCCTTAATTGTTACACAATTCATAGTAGTTGAATGAAACATGAAAACTTACTCCTGAATAGGTCAGGCGATTTAGCCAGGCGATAGATATTAAAGCCTTTAACCTCAAAACCATACAACAAGGTTGATTGGTTACCAATCCTAATTCTAGTCAATATAATGGAAAGTTACATTAATTTTTACTCAAGCTTTAATGAATTCTTGAAGTTCACTAAACTACTCACAAAGCAAATGAATTAGACGAACAGTTTATCCGATAAGTGTGCCTGAATAGCACTTAGAATTATGATTTACAGACGTAATTACATCCGATTACCCCATACCTCGCTTTAACTTGCTTTCCTGTTCATTTTTACAAAAATATTCTTGATAAGGATTATTATTCAGTTTGTAGGCGAGGATGAGGACAGATATTTTTATTGGTAGGCTTCGAGATTTAATGTGTCATCATTAGCAAGTTTGGTAGTGTCTTCACCGCCACAGATGTTCTTAGAACTAACTAGAATATCACTAAGTCAAGCGAACAAAGATCGACGGTTGAATATCAATGCTGGGAAGATAATTATTCTATAATGTCATTCATTGTGTGTGATGGTAGCGGCGAAATTAGTATATAAGTAACAGATATGTCAGCCTAAATTATATACAATAATAATGATTCCGCGTTTCAAATATATATATATATATAACGTATGGTTTTCTGAATAGTCAAACAACTTTTAGTCAGAACGCCTACATCAGCATTTTGGTTTATATTGAATTTTCTTTGTTGATTATAGCTTGATTCCACACCGTATTTTTGGTACAAGTATAGAATTTTCAACATGTGATATGGGTAGTCCAAATTTTGCAGGCCAACCAATTGATATCAGGTGTTAGCCGGCATAGTTGGCGAGAGTCCTAACCACCAGCAGTTGGATCTACAAAGCTTGTTGCGAGGACAAATACTCGCCGACAGCACTGTATGTCGGTAGAGCTAAAAGTCAGGAATCGACAGAACTTGCACTCCATCCAAGTGTCTGAATAGTCAGTGAGCTCGCCTTGCAACCTTGTAACCGATTTTAGTTCAATTTATCACCTGCTGTAACTTGAATAGATCGTTCTAGTGTTATGTATTCTTTTCAGAAATCATTTTGAAGCATTTTTTTATTTGAATATGCCAGCAAAATATCATTAGGTTTTGAAACTTGAATATTTTATTCAGCCGGTTTCCTTTATTGGTTTGAACAAAGAAAGAACGACCATATTTACAAGATAATATGAATCCGTTTTATTTTGTGAATTCTCTTCAACTGCGTACACCCTAAATAAAGCCAAATCATAAGTTACAAAATTTCTGAACATACTTTTACCACAATTACTTCGAGTCATAGACAGAAAGCTTGAGGAAAATAATTCTAAGAATGATGTAACTTGGACGAATTATTGATTGCTAAAACGCTAGACATTCATAGTGTAATTGGACAAGAGGAAGGGGAATAGAGTTCAAACTCCGATTAGAAACAAGGATTGACTACAGACAAAATACAAGAGTAGAGTGTTCAAGATGGTTGGAGTAAATAGTAAAATAAAATTATGACATGTGCAAACAATTAAGTAAATTTGGAAAATTAGTAGTAGCGAGTCCAACTCAGTAAGTAAAAATCAAAATTTAGCGGAATGTCACGTAACAGAAAAATAAACACAAAAGCACACGAACAAAGCAATTGCTGTTACCAAGGTAGTGACTGCGTTGGTAGCACAGCGTTTGGGACTCTCGCCGAACATGCTCATGGTCTGGGGTTCGATCCCCTGCCGACATACACCTGATATCAATGGTCGGCCTGTAAAACTGGGCCACCGATATCACATGCTGAAAATTCCATGCTTGTACCAAAAAATATCTTTGTGTATACAGAAGTTAGGTCGAAGTTTTTTGACAGCTGTCGCTCCTGAGAACCAAAGTAGCTGTAGTTTTCTTTGAGTATTGATTATTTTGAAAGCCTGACTAATTTCCACTACATGTCCAGCAGCTGGAGAGAATCTACAAAATAAAACGAGCTTGTATTCTCCTGCAAATGAGTTCATTTTTTTTCTTGAAGATAACAGATTCACATAGCACGTTGTTATTACTGTTGTTATTATTATTACGATTACTTTTCCTTTGTTTCTTTTAAAGTACACTCAATTTTGTGTTATGTTTGCGATAATTGCCCGAAAATTACCAATTCAACAAAAGTACAATCAAATTGTCGTCGATGTTTAGTAAGTTACAAGTTGAATTGTAATGTCTCACTGCATTTTTAGTGACCACTATTTTTCCACTGTAGAGTTCCAGCCAGAGGTTTAAAAACCTCTAGTCCAATTTTCGATTATCTTTACTAAGAGACTGATACGACAACTGAAACTATCTGGCTTAATGCTTAGATTTGTAATGTAAATAAATGGTACTTAGCGGTCGTTTTGTTATCACACTAGTCACCCAACCACATCATATTCTGTCATTCTTAATCGTAATAAATTAAAAGAAGAGAAGTAAACTGTCTAAGGCACAGAAAAAATGTTTGAGCCTCTAAATGTTCAATATTTTGATTATAGGAAACACCAGAAAATAGGCTGGCATATAAGAATACAAGACTAAGAAGAATAAAGATATTTCATGCAAGGTACTTTCTTGAAGAGATAGGTTAAAATCAGTTTAAGGCTCATAGTTTGTAAAAAAGTTAACTAGATGAATGTCATGGACATCGAATCAGCCTTGTCCGTTGTCTTGACTATGTAAACAGGGGAAAAGTATAGTTTGAAGAAGACACTGACAAGAACATCTTCTTGAAAACCACTGAAAAACCATAAGCAGTGGACAGATGTGTTGCCATAATATTTCTCAAATTCCCTCAGAGATGCCCACCCACAACTTGATTTGAGATTGCCCTCTCTAATAAAAACAACTGAATGTTTCTCCAACTGGCGGAAATTCAGAGTTATATATTTGTTTTAAGAAAAACTAACGAGTTTTAGTGAATTATAGAACTGTCTATATTTAAATAGAATATAACATTTTAGTGTTCCTTAACAACGGAATACCGACATATTTCTCGGTCCTTATTTGTCGATTGTGCGTAAATAAGCCCACCGAACTAGTCACAAGATTCACAGACAAAAGACTTTGTGTGCATATACCCATAAATACAAATTCGTGTGCTTGATTTCATGAAAAAAGGATACATTAACTGATATCAAACAGTTATCCGAAGTGTGAGTAAAACCTGAGTAAAACAGTAAATAATAAAAATGAATTGTTTTATCTGAGTAGGAATTCGGTTAATAATGATTTATATAACACTATGAATCGACGTCAGCATTCAATAGCTGATTCTTTCTCACTCTGGATACTCTTTCTCATTGACCACTTTAAATTCTGGGATTAGTCAAGCTTAATGGTCATCAAATTACCACCCAGTTGCCTAATGTCCAATTTTGTTTATTTTCAATTACCATGTATTAGTGAAGAAGAAGAAAACAGGAATACACTGAATCAACAAGAAGACTTTAAAAGATCTGGACTCCATGGATGATTTATGCCTAATGTCTCACAAACTCGAAGACTTACAGCTGAAAACCAACAAACTGGTAGAAGAAGCAGACAGCAAAGACAGGACTTCAAGTGATGAACAGAGAGAAGACTTAGATGATGAAGATAGCCAGCCAACAACAGCAGACACTGGTCACTATCGATGGGTGAAAGATGAGGGAGCTCACTTCCTCCACTTTTCTAGGCAGTATCGTCTCACTCGCAGGTGGGCGGTACAGTTACTCACAAACGAAACTGTGTGCAAACATTGTTTAAAAGAGTTCAGACACATTGTAGCACTCCAGAGCTGAAAAGAATGGAAGAAAAGTACCTACAAATGGTCTTCAAAAAGAATGGTTATCCACAAAATTTCATCAAAAAGTGTTTAAAGTCGAATCAAAACACCAACAAGAAACCATCATCAAAGACCACAAGAAAATTCATTCTACCATACATGAGGAATATCTCTGAAATAACAGCCAGAATACTGAAACCGTTAGATATAGATATGGCACACAAACCAGTAAAATCGCTTAATTCGATATTATGCAAACCAAAAGATCCAACAGAAAAGGGGATAAAATTAATACCATCTGCAAAATAAATTGTATGAACTGTAACAAGCATTACATCGGCCAAAGTGGGCGTCCCCTCCGAATCAGAATCCAAGAACATAAATCAGCCGTGAAAAGACATGATATGTATTCTTTAGTATCAATGCATATAGACAATTATTGTCATCAGTTTGATTGGGATCATGTCAAAATCTTAAACAGAGGAAACACGAAAAGTGCCAGAGAATTCCTAGAAGCCTGGTACTCAAGCGAAAATGCGATTAACAAACACGTTAATATAGATGAAATATACCAATTAATAAAAAGTAAATCAGGTGACCAAAAAGTTTAAAATCCTAGTCAATAGAAAGTGGTCAATACATATGTGAAGATAGTAACCAGGAGATGCAATTACATCACGCATGAAGAAATTTAAATCATTTCACTTTGTGCTAAATATGGCGCTGAAGATGTTGTCCGGAAGGACGACGAAAGCTTCGCGACTAAACCAACCAGCTCAGAGAACACTTTAAATTACAGATAAGGATGTCAAAACCAGGATCGGAAAAGCAATGCAGACCTTCATCACTCTGAATTCAGTTTAGAAATCTTCTGCACTCAGCATAAAGGGCAAAATTCAAACTTTGAACACAAGTGTTAATTCATTTCTTCTATATGGGTCGGAAACATGGCGCGTTACTAAAGGCATTTCAAACAAGGCACTATAGACTTCCATCAACAGTCGCCTCCACTCCATACTGCAGATTAAATGACCAGTCGGAAAGGATTAGCAATAAGGAATTGTGGCAATCAACCAATCAAGAACCTGTTGCCTAAATAATATGCTGACAGAAATAGAGGCAGTTTGGATATATGCACATCAGGTCGTTCAATGAAACCTGAATTGTAAATGACTAGTTGGGCTTGTGTCCGCGGGGGAAATGGAAGACATCGTGTGAGGAAGAGGCCATCTGAAGAGGGATACAGGGAACAGGACAGAGTGGAGATGTGCTATTGAAGCCCTATGTTCTACTTGGAACTCAAGGGAATAATAATCGATTAATGACGCACCACTATAGCCAGCGATAGATAATGATTTGAAAAGACCGAAAATACCCACTGAATCATAAAGTCAACAAAGGACAATTATTTATCGTTGAAGCCATCTTAAAAGGCTACACCATAGTATTTATATTTACCAAAAACGTCATTCTTGTATACAGGTCATACTGAATCTTTTCTGAGTTGTTTTTATTGAAGTGTATACTCTTTCAAAGAAAGTACATGCTTCATACAAGCATTTCTGAGCTAAAATACGCTAAACCATGGATATTTACTTTAACTAAATATTAGATCTATATCTGTTTTGTTATGTGAATCGACTAATGGAAGTGTATTGTCTATTTTGGTCCCAAATCATGTAACCTATATATTTATATGGATTTTAAAGTATTTGAAGGGTGTCCATAATAATATTATGTGCCTTTTTTGTTTATCCTATTCAAATTTCAGTTAAATTACCCAGTGAGTAAAAAATTTCCATGATTAAGTTACTGTGACCATTGAAATCCTCTCAGAATACGTGTTACGCAGCATTGGTAGTTAAAGGTGTACTACAAGTCTTAGTGTGCCTTGTGGTTTTAACGTTAAGACTTGAAAGCACCGATATATGATGATGTTCTAAAGCAACCACGCAGGCTGAAATTATTAGCATATATATATACTACTGATAATCATTTCAGTAGACAATCTTATTCAGCTGAAAATGTTTATCAACCTACTATTCGTGAATATTATTTAAACTAAAGATAATTCACAAGAATGAACACCGGTTTCCTCTTGGCGGTTATGATTCAAAATTAGTAACACATACATTATAATGAAAACTGCTTGATTATTGTTTGGAGATGGGAAAATATGATTTCAGCAAAAACACACATTAACCCACACTACCTAGCCATTCAGCTAAATCGTATTTAGTCCTAATAGAACGTCTTAGACAGAAGAAGATGAAAAGCGACATACTTAGCAAATTAAATAAAAAGTATATTTTTAGATTGTTGTCAAAAATATCTAAATGTATGAATTCACTAGATGATGGGTTCGTGCATCAATCACTAGAGTAATGACAACAGTCTTTCATCAGATGACAAAGGCTTAAGATAGAATATTTTAACAGAGAAATGTAATGTAGTTTAACCTATGAAGGCTTTCTTCCAGTATTCAGTTGTAAGCTATTGATTTTCGGGAGATTATTTACCACTAGTGGGGTGTTTTCTTAGGGTATTGTATTAGCACGAATATCTCATTACTATTCAAAATTGAAATTAATCAAAAATAGTTTTGCTGATTCTGTAGTAATTGCATAACAGTTTGCAGAAACTACATAATTACAGTAGCATTGTTCATAATAACTGAGGAGATATCGATCTATGGTGATATTTCTTCAAGTTTCATACAACCTACATTGTCAAGACACATTCGTAGCTGATGACTGAAGGTGAAATGAAATCTAAGCTGCTGCAGAATTCAAACCAGAAGCCTCATGATTAATAATCTGAGACGATATCGCCTGAGGTACGAGATTCGACTATGAACCAGGTCACCACTTCACTACAGGGTATTACCGTGGTGATAATCACGGAATGATGACCTTTGTTTGGATACTACGTAGTAAACAGTACCATGCGTTTAGTCCATTTTTTTGGTACAGACTGAATCCTATCATTCACTTGTGTGATTTAGTCACCATGCTAGGTAGCTCGCCATCAGGGTGCACCCTGAATTGTTATTAGTATTAGTTGGTTGGTGGCAACCGGCAAGAAGACTGACGCCTAAATTTTGTGCTTGTTGTTGTTGCCACAAATGCTATTCAGGTCCACGATTGACTTCTTATAGAACTGTAATGGAAATTTTAACTGAAAACTAGACAATAACTAGTTTCATGCGTCTAGTATCTGACTGCGGTACTGGTGACACGGATCCGAATTTCAAAGGGGAAATGAGTTCCTTCAAGAATGTAGATACGGCTTGCTGATGAGTGCCAACAAGCACAAAACTTATATTCAAGGCTTCCTGCTGATTGACTCCAACCATCTGGTGAAAACACTGATGATTATAGGCTAATAAACTGCGCTAAAATCAGTGATGTAACACCTGCATTACATCTGGTGAAGTTCAGAATCCATTTCTCGTAGATGATTCCACTGGTGTTTGATAATAAACACCTTATTTTCCCTGATTAGATAAGAGGGATCCCTAAACCTACAAAGATTCCAAGGGAAGTAATTTGATTATTATTGTCCAATAAGATTCTGAGTTCCGCATTAGGGTTACTATGGTTAGCTTTGTCAGTAGGCGCTTGTAGGAACATTTTTAAAAAGATTGTATTGGGTGTTGATCCCATCTTTGTTTTAGTTTGTTTATCTAAGATATCCAGCTTACTATTAAAACTGCTGACTCTGTTACCTAGATAGATAATCACACGTGCGTTGGTCGATACTACAGAGAGTAACCTACAGTACGGATATATATTAGAAAATTGTGGTGTTGTATAGATGCTGATATCTCTACTCTCATCTCTTCCTTGATGTCGAATATAAAAAAAACAACTGACATTAACCATTCACTTTCAGTCAGAATCAAAAATATCAATTCAGAAGGATATAAATAAATCTCACGACATTTTCTTTTTTGTATGTTACAGATCAATACAACTCAACCGGGTATTGTGAAAAGGTCATGTGCTCAAACATGTCCACTAGTAACATGGTCGGCATTTCGTAAACAAAAGGTGGTGTGTTGCAAGAAAGATCTATGCAATTCAGTTGATAAACAGACGCACACTAATCTGTTCTTTGTATCTGCACTATCAGTATTAGTGATAGCTTATTCATTTATATTTGATAAACTTTGTTTAAAAATAGACTAATTTAAATTGGATGTAAAAAAAATGTTTGACACACTTATTTTTTAAAAGTATTGTATAAATCATTTTAAATGAAAAGTGGTAAATTTTAAAATTGCATAACGTTTTGTCATTGTAAATGTGTGTATATTAATGAAATAACTCAAATATCTTTAAATAAGGTAGATTTGTTTTCAAGTTGAATTTGAGCGCGAAGTGGTTTTAGTTGGACAGCTACTGAAACCAACAACAAGGACTGGATATCTGTTTCATCCTTGTTTGGCACTCCTTAGTAGTACACACCCACCATCCTATCAAGGATCGAATCAACGCCTTCCGTTTACGACTCCAGTCCATTGACGATCAGCCACTTAGACGGAATTCAATGACTCATTAGTTCTAACTTCCGTCAATTCACGATTAATAGTGCAACCTCCAGTCAGTGTCACGCGCAGCTTGTTGGACTGCAGTTGTCATGGTTTCGCATTGGAACTTCAGGTAACTTTCACTGTAGTCTATTACTAGTGATCGCTATATTAATTTTCAAGTTGCCTAAAGTACTAGTAGGAAATCATGACCACTAGGGTGCACCAAGTTGGATGTGAGGACAGATACTCACGGCTGATACTGGGTAACAGTCGCACTATATGTCGCAAATTGGCGGAAGTTAGAAGTGATAAGCTGTTGGATTCCATCACGGCAGTTGAACGATCAACGACATCTCATAGTAACCTGAAGGTCCAGGGATCGGCTCCCGGTGGGATCATGATTGCGTATACCTAAAGAGTTCAAAACAAGGAGGAAATTGCGGTCCAGTACTCGTTACTGATTTTCAGTGGTTCTCTAAATGAGGTCAGCTGGTGATCGAAATAGGTAGATTCGGTTACAAACGGACATCAGTTTAAAAATATTACTGAATGCCAGTTAGCACTAGATAGCTATCTTCGAGTTGCTCTTGAAATCCTTCCACAAAGTTCTCTTTAGTAGGATCTTGGAAACAACTTTTGGAGAGTTCTAAAGTAGGAAAACAGCAGATTTTCATATCTCCCTAGTTTTCACTTTTTTCCCCTCTAGACATTATCATTCCGTCACGAAAACAATCAAATCATTGCAAAGCTCAGTATTTAAAAGTATTCAAATGGGTTTCTTATACACTGAATAATTCACTAATCAGAAATCTTAATTCAAAAAGCAAATTATTCGTCATTTCAGACATTTATTCCATCCAGAAAAGAATAATCCTAAAGAAATGCCTCTATTTCGATGTTTTTCAAGTATACTAGTGAGACAACTATACTAATTTCTATGATCCACCTGACACCATGTGAAATCAGTCACGAATATAACTAACGTTTTCTTTCAAGTACATTTTGATTGTGAAGCCTTTTCGAATATTCTGAACAGCATTCATTCAGATACTGTAAAAAATTATTTTCCCCGAGAGAACATTTTTCTTCACATGTATATGTCTGTCTGTCTGGAAGCCTTAAAAAGCCCTATCATGTAAGACAAAAAATTATAAGCAATAATCAAGAAATCGCGAACACAGTAATCAGCGAAGCGACCTTTTTTCAACGTATTTATTTAAAATCAAATTGTACAACCACATTTATGTATGATTTTTAAGAAACTATTCCCCCTGATAAAATTCAGACAAAAGGTGTCAATACTTAATTATAATCATAATGTGAACTGTAACAAAATATTTGTGTAAAGATATAAGACAGGTAATGAAATGTACAAAGTAGATCATAGAACGTATAGATCTTGGAAAGAGAGGCAAAATGAGTGGGATCAATAGACAAATAAAAAAATTAAGACAGACTTTAATACTGTAGAAAATTTATTGAATTGAACTGATAAATTAGGGACAAGTGGAATAACACGGGAAACTGCTGAAAGTAAAAAGGAATAATAATAACAATAATGATAATAAAGGAAATGTGCACAGAAAAAATAAACAAATGAGTGAATTCTTTCATCGCACCTTTCTTCTTTGTGATCATAATAAAAATAAGGACAGTTCTTTTGTATACAAAGGTCTGTCTTAAATTCATGGACAGCCAACGCCCCCCACTGTCATCAGAAGTTTAGGGCAAGAAAAACTCAGAAAATTGGAGTGAATTCGATAGATAATTATAATGGGTTGCGCTAAATCGCGAATTGGTAGAAGTTAGAATTCATGAGCCATTGAATCGGGTCCCAGTGGCTGAATGGTGTGCAAGCTTGCCTTGTAACTGGTCGAAAACCGACCGACCGACTCCCAAACTAGGATGAAACAGCTGTCCAGTACTTCCTGGTTTTCAACGGTCCTCTAACTGATATAAATCCGTGATCAACTCGTAAAAACCAAACTATAGAAAATATAAAATCGTTGTCGGGGTTAACTGAGCAGTAGAAGTTGATTAAAAATTAACAGTTATTTTGGTTTTATAATCAATCAATGGACTGCAGTATTTTCGAAATCTAGTATCATGATTTTATTTTCCCACTTTGTTTAATTAATCTGTGTTTTGCCATTATTGTTGCTCCTGTTATTAACATTATTCCTGCTTTGATTTGTTCCTGGTATGTTTCCACTTGTTGTCGTTTATTAGTTTAATTCAGTTTACTTTTTTACACAGTTAAACCCTATCATTTCAAACTTCTCACTTTACTACGTAATAGTTCTGTTTCTATGTTAGTCCTATTATTTTACAACCTTTTCTGAGATAATGATTAACTTTAACACATTTTTAAAATATAAAATAGGCAACATTCATAAATAAAATAAAATGCCATGTTGGATTCTTAAAAATTACTTAGAATGATTGATCTATGTATCATGAAAGAATGTCAATGAATATTGCGCATGGATTGAATATCTAATTCATTTAATGAAAAATATGAATTGCGTAAATAAAACAGTCAAAGAAAATAAATATGTCGTTAATTTCAAATTTTGATTAGAAAGATGAAAAGTAATCCAACGGTGACTTTGCAAAAAAAAATTACATCGAGTAAAAGGGTTATGATATGAACCAGGTGAGAACCATTAATCATTTTATGAAACTGTGGTGCTGCATCCGTGGGTGTGTCTTCGGTGTATTCCAAGAACAATATCATTTGAATGACTTAGCTCCATCATGGATAACATTTCATTTTAATAAAAATACACAGTGTTGTTATACAGTAATATTTACTGATGACCAAATTTCGAGCACAATTTATTGCCGCTCATAATCATATCAAGTCACTCACACAACTTTCTTGCTTCATTTATATACATGAGTAAAAATGGATTAGACATTTGAATAAAATCAATATGAGATAAAGTACATTCGGAAACAATATAGTATTTTATTGATAACGCTAATATTTTCTCCGAATGTACTTTACCTTATATTGATTTTATCCAAATGTCTAATCAATTTTACTTATGTATATAAATGAAGCAAGAAAGTTGTGTGAGTACCTTGATATGATTACGAGCAATGATTTGTTCTCAAAACGTGGTCATCAGTAAATATTACTGTATAACACTGTGTGATTTCATCGTGATCAGAATGTCCAAAATGTGTTGCACAAATACATTATACTTTTCAGATAAACTACGTCTTCTTATTGATGAGATTTTGTAAGCAATGACACAAAAGTAATGTATTCATGGATACGCTATGATTAGTTAGGAGAGTAGAAGACAGTGACTTGAATAATGAGAACTAATAGTTTTATAAAAGGTAACCATTCGTTAGTTCTCTGGAGCTATTCATTTTGAACAGTAATTAAAAATGATCTCGGTAAACAGATAAATCGAAGTATTAAGTTAGTAAAGTATAGTGGGTTTCTGTAATGCAGTCAAAGCTTTTGGAGGAAGGATGCAAAAGCAGAAACAAGAAACTGAGGAATGTGGATTATAAGGTCACGTATATCACCAGAAAACTCCGAATAAACCGCTGAGATGTACACAAAAATAGTATCACTTAGGTTCATTTTCTTAGGCATCAGATATAAGTAGAATCATATTTAATGGGTGGTTGGTTAATAAGTTGGGTGAGGAGAAATAAGTATTTACATTGTGGATTTCTTCCAAAATAAATCTGAGATAATAATCTGTACGATTATTCAAACCACACGTAGAGTGACCCACAAAATCCACAAACACAGGATTTGTGTGAATTACGGTGCTATATTAAACATAAATAACGAAATATAATGTATAGAAGCCTAAATTATGAGGTGTCGCTGGCTGAAAGCCGTCAAAAGCACAATCAGTGTGCGTCTGTAAACTGTACCAACGGTTATCCACGTGTAGATTTAAACGGCACAAAAATGCCTGACACAGAAGAAACCGATACGAATAAACAATGTTCAACAGGAACGGGTACATGGACAAGGCACACGTAGCAGATAATGTTTAACTATAAGAAAATGATTACTATATATCGAGTAGATTAGTAATACATTAGGTGAATTTAACTTAAGTAGCAAACAAAGTCATGCCTAACTAACCAATACAACTCATACTGCTTACTAGTAGTGGACTGTATACATTTAACACAAAAGAAAGAGTAACAAAGGACATGTAGGAAAGTAATTAACACTATTTATTGGAAAACGATGCAATTAAATGAAGCTCAAGAAACAGATTCAGATAGTTACTAGGGCTTATTTTCAGGTTTATATGTGAAACTTCGAGGGCATGATAACGGTGGCCTAAATGAACTTCTGGCTGTTACTTGTTTCTTAATCATCCTGAAGGAATTCAAAATGTTTGCATCAGGTCCTCTGTCATTCAGATCAAGTGTGACCGATCCAACATTAACTACCTCTTATCCTTTACTTTTCAGTAGGTATTTCTCACATTTACAATCTTAATGGACTGGAAATTTATGATTTGAATGAATGAATGCAGAAAACACTTTTAGGAGATAAATGAAGTTGGCAGTTACACAAGATACACTTTGTATAAACACAAGTTGCTATACTGCAACTTCTAAATTTTTCGTCTAATATGCAAGATAAATTTTGGGATCAGAACCGTAGAAACAGCGATGATTACGTATCTAGTTAGGGTTTGTGCACGAGCAACCGAACGTAACACTGGAGCGTGTAGAAGGGTGTGGACAGTTAAGAGCGTATATTCAGCCTAACAAGTCAACTTAAGCAGTGAGGATCAGCAATCATTATTGAG